CGTGGCGTTAGGATTGGTAGGCCACCAGACCTCTGTCTTAATCAGGGAGCTCCCCTAAACCTGTCAACCATGGGTAACCCTTTGGTGTTTGATACACCAGTGGCACACTTTTCAGTATCATAGCAACCCCAAGTTATCTCAGTAAGCAAATGACAGACAAGAACTATACCATTTAGAGCAGTGTTCTCCCACACGCAGTTAACACAAGGCAGGCCCTCAGGCCCACCTTGCTTTTAAATACAAAGGCCACCCACCAGGATTGATTGATTTAAACAAGACACTTCTAGCTGCAGCTGATTATTAACTAAAATCACAATGACTAATCAGCTTACATTTGATTGTTAATGAAATAAAAAATGAGCAAATAGTTTACAATGGATTTCAATTAAATCAGAACAACCCACCTTCCAGAATCTAGCTGCTTCACATAGGAGGCCCCAAACTGGAGACTCTTAGGCAGGACACAACTGGTTTTAATACACAAATTCAGTGCTGTTTTCCAAAAAGAGAAGGGGAAAAAAAGAGCACTTCTCTCTTTGGAGAAGAGTATTGACCATCCCATGGATGGCCAAGAGAACAAACAGATATGTCTTGGAGAGGGTGCAGCCAGAGTGCTCTTTGGAGGCAAGAATGATGAGGTTTCACTTCACATACTTGGGCATGTTGCTAGGTGGGGCTATTCCTTTGAGAGGGACATGATGCTAGGAAGGGTAGAGAGTTGGCAAAGGAGATGATAACCCTTAACCAGGTAGATTGACACAGTGACTGCTTGCAGTGGGCTCTTGTGTGTCAGGAAGTGTGAAGATGGTGCAGAACAGAACAGAGTCAGATCTTTTGTTCATAGGGTCGCTATGAGGGTATTCGCCTCGATGGCACCTAACAACAACAACATGCAACATCATGACAGGTGAAGTAAAGATTATCAATGATTTTATTTTGCTTGGATCCATAATCAACACTCTTGGTACTAATAGTTAAGAAATCAAAAGGCATTGGGAAAATCTGCTATCAAAGAACTCTCCAGTGTTTTAAAGAGTAATTATATAAATTTAAAGACTGAGGTATACCTGATCCAAGTTACGCTCTTTTCAGTTACTTGCAATGCACCTTATACATTGAGTAAGAGTGATAGAAGAATCTGTGTCTTGGAGTCCTGGTGTTGAATATCCCATGCACTGCCAAAAGAACAAGCGTGTCTTAAAATGTAATCAGAGTGCCCCTTAGATGTAAGGATGGCGAAGCTTCATCTCACATATTTTGGCATGTTGTTTAGATGAGCCAATCCTTGAAAAAAGGACATTATTCAGAGAAAGGTGAAAGATCAGTATCAGAGAGGAAGACCCTCAACAAGATAAGCACGAAGGATGGACAGAATAATTATAACAATGGGCTTGAGTATATCAGAGAGGATAAGGATGGTGCAAGATAGGGCAGGGTTCAGATCTCCTGTTCATAGGGCCATTCTGAGTCATACTTGGCTTGATGACACCTAATAACAACCAAGTAGAATCCTCTTAGCAACTGTACAGAGTAGATATTATCTTTATATTCTTACAGCAGATAAGAAATGTTCGGCTCACCACTCACACAGTTAGTTGTGTAACAACTGGATTCAGACTCCAGCAGGCCATGTGCTGTGTTCCCTATCTGCCTTTATCCCAGGCCCACTGCTTCGTATGAGGAGTGGAGGGAGTGTCATTGGCCAATTCCTCTGAAACTACCCCTGGCCACATTCTGTCAGAGTGCTGTTTCTGTTCTTACTCTCACCCTTGAGCTTGAGATCAAGGTGGACAGTTGGGGCAGAATAAGCTTCAGAAGCTTATTCTGGCTCCAGGCCCAGGGGGAGTCCAGCCTCCTTTCTTGGTTCAGCTCCCAGAAGTGAGTAAAGCAGAAGGGGCACAGAACCAGAACCCACTAGCCTGAGGGCTGCAGGTAGGAAGTGGTGGAGTAATTGTGCTCTCTAAATACTTTTCCACTCTATGCCTCTATTTCCCCATTTGCAAAAGACAGACTGGTTTTCACACTGGATCTTAGCAGTGACTGCCTTTTTCTGTAAGAACAGCTGGCATGAATTGTGTAGTAGTTTGGCTCAGAGGATAGGTACCCCACACCTTCTCCCTCACCCCTGCCGGCCTGTGAGTCATCAGGAAATCTGGGATCAGGATACTATCTAGGCACCCTGAGATTTCTTCTCTTTGTAGAAGCCCTAGTGACATAGTGGTTAAGTCCTTGCCTGCTAATCTAAAGGTGGGCAGTTCAAACCCACTAGCTGCTCTGTAGAAGAAAGATGCAGCTGTCTGCTTCTGTAAAGAGTCCAGCATTCCAAAGTGTATGGAGCAGTCCTGCTCTGTCCTGTTGGGTTGCTATGAGTCAGAATGCAACTCCCTGGCAATTGGTTTAAGTTGTAGGCTGGCTGTCTAAACATCCTCACCTTCAGACCTGCTCAAGCCATGCCTGTGCTTGTCACCTTTGAGCTGCCTTCTCAGAACCTGCAGCTCTGCTGATATCCTCCTGGGTAATACCCATGGGTCACGTCCAACTGTCGTATGATTCCATTCTGATGACAAAAGTGGAGAAATTCCTGAGTGTTGTTTAAGAGCTTGTCTCTGAAAGGTTGGTGATGGGAATCTACCTAAAGGCTCAATGGAAGAAAGGCCTGGAAATTTAGATCACCCCAATTGTGAGGTATGTCAGAATTCTTGGTAGACCTCGGGAATTCTTGTTTTATCAATAGACTAGGAAATATGAGGTCAGGAGACCCCGCCACTACCTGGATGTGGCTTATCTACTTAAAGGTGCTCCCAGCCCACAAGACCCGTGTTACTGCAGCTGTAAGAGAGTTCTCTTTTGTCCTTTTTTCTGCTTTTCTCATGTTCTCACTGACAACCCACCTTGTACTGGACTGGGGGTGGCCTGGCATGCAGTCTGTCAGGGGGCTGCCAGGATAAGTGGGTACATGGACACAACGCTTTTTTTACCTTCCAGATCCGTCTGCGGTGTCAGAAGGGCATCCCGCCTTCTTTGCGGGGCCGTGCGTGGCAGTACCTGTCAGGAGGCAAGGTGAAGCTCCAGCAAAACCCGGGGAAGTTTGACGTGAGTTTTCCCTCCTTCTCCCTCTCCATGCTCCCAAGCCTCTTGGTGTCCTCGCCATTGATAGTCCTGACCTCAACAGTATGAGTGGATTAATGAGACTATCAGTCAAATGCCCAGTTGCCCAGGCCCCAAGGAGGCGAGCTGGGCTGATTCCATGCTCTCATAACTGCCTGTCAAGGTGCTGCTTCTCATTGGAGCTCCAGCCCTAAGTCGTTCTCGGTAGGTGGTCAGATTGGCCACCTCTCATGCCACCTTCTTCTCCTACTAGCCACTCCTATCTGCCCCCTCAGGCAGTGGGCCACTGCTCAGTTCCTGCTCATCGGGAAGGACACTTGGACTCCATTCCTGACTGATTTGAGTCCTGAACACAGCAGGAATCACAGAATACTCGGCCCTTCCGTCCTCCCATCTTCTAATCTTGTTTCTTTTGAGATCTGTACTCCTGGGAGTAGTGAAGCCAAACCAGCACCCTCAGAAGTCAGTAGTCATTGTGGGTGACCTCTGTAGCCATGTCCTCCCTCCTACCTGTTGCCTATTGTCACGTGGGTGGTAAAGGCAAGACCCTGCGCCTCTTGGTATCCACCTGGAGCAAGCAGCTCTCCAGCCTGTTCCTCTGGGGAGCTGTGGGATGTAGTTGATATCTTTGGGGTTTCTCAGACTTAGCAGCTGGTGTGGTCAGGGTTTCTCTCAGGCCTGTGGGACTGGTGACAAGCAGACAGTGAGACAGAGCTGCTAGCTCCAGCTATTTTGTTGATAAACCTTGTACTTCACTGACCGCTCCTGTCCTGCCAAACCCATTCTCTGAGGAGGAGGGGCCAAGGGGAGGGCAGGACAGCCTGGAGTTTTTGTTGCTGACCTGGAGAGGCCAAGAACTTACTGGTAGCACTTGTCACTAGAGGGGCAGGAGGGCTGGTGGGTTGACTGCCTGGGGACAACAACTGGACTGTCCTTCAGTGCCCCAGTGCTAGGCTCAACTTGAGTGGCTTCTCAACCCCAGAGTCTTCCTAGTGGCTACATCCTTTCACCTTCTCCATTTCAAAGGGCTGCCTCTTGAGGGAAAGTTTCAGGGGTTCAAAGTTACTCTAGCTGGGCTGATACCAGGGACACTTGGGGCCCCAGGCCCCATTCTCCGTCCTTTGGGCAGCCAACTTCCAGCTTTTCTCCATTTTTTCGAATGTGAGCATGTCCTAAGCATGAGTTGTGTGTGGGGTGGTGGATAGAGAAAGGAATGAGCTGCCGCCAGAAGGTCTTGAACACTTGCTGGGTGAGTGAGCAGACTCACTAAAAAAAAAGAGCCTCTAAGTAGATTTTAGGATGCACTCAAACTCAGTAGTGGGTCCCTGGAACAAGTTGGAGACCAGGACAATAGTTTGGGAGCCTGGGAGGTTGTGAGAGCTACTGACCAGCAGCACTTAGCCCTGGTCACAGTGGGCCCTGAGATCACAGTGGGCCAGGCAGGGGTGGAAAGCTCCTTCTGGCTGCTTTGGGAATGTGAGCCACGGATATGACAAAGACTTGGAGGTGGTAGCATGTCCCTATCCTGAGCTAGCGCCCTCAGCCCTCTCTCTGCCAGAGCATATCAGCATGGCTGACTGAGCGTCAGCAGTTAGGCATGTTCTGCTGAGCCTGCCGGCTTCATGTTCTCCTGCACTTGTTCACTCGTCCTCCTCCTTCGGGCAGGGCAGGACCTTCTGCATCCTTTTTTCTCCTGGCTTTTCTTGGGCTTCACCTCCTGATGGCTCCCAGTGCCTCTCAGGCTCTTCCCCAGGGCTGCAGGTCCAGGCAGGTGACTGTTGTAGCCATCTTGTCTGCTAGCACCCCCACCTGCTTTGCCATTCCAGTTCCTAATCTTCCCACCCAGCCTTTCTAGCTCCCCTTTTCTTGTTCTCCCTAATTCAGGGGTGACCCAGCTGTTGGGCTGCTGAAGTACAAGTTTAACACCTTCGAGCAACTGACTTGTTGCTTTCTCAGGACCCCAGCTCCTGGAACCCCACCAGGACAGTGTGTGGGCTCTTCTTCCCTCTCCAACAAGAGCAAACATGCACTATGTTTAGACAGTACCTAGCCCTGGGCCGGATCCGGGGAGTAGACAGGACACCCACAGGTTCCCATCCGGAAGGTGTGTGAGCCGAAGCTGTGTGAGCTGCTCCGGAGGTGGCATTCCCAGCCTCCTCTGCTCAGGGGCCCTCACGGCAGCCCCTCCCTGTGCCTCTCAGCCTTGTGCACACTATCAGCTTCCTCCATGATTCTCTCTAGTCAAGTACTTGACACCTTAGTTTCTTTATTTATTTTAATACTAGTGTATTTGGGTCACAGTTAACTTGATGGAACATAACAGCAGCGTCTTATATTGGTTGTTTTTTATTTAGAGTCAACAAGACCTGTGGAGGTCTTTTGCATTTAAAAGTCATTTGTTGCTATATTTTGGAGGAACATTTTTCTAAGTGGTACAGCACTCTTCTGTCAGTTTGCTGCTACTGAGCTAACCAGGGGTTGCTGTGTTGCTGAACCTTGTGTTATTGGGGTGTGAAATGCCATAAAGGTTACCCATGTTGGGCAGTGTTTGGTGGAGCTCCCAGTTTAAGACAGGTTTGGAAGCAGGAGTGGCATCCACTTCCTAAAGAGCTTATCTCTAGAAACTCTATGAACTTTGAGAAATGACGATAGTTATAGAAAGGCTGTTTTGTTCATGAGGAAACTATGAGTTGTGCTTGACTCGACACCAGTCAACAACAACTAGTTTATATACAAAATTCTAATACATTGTTTTTCACACCAGATCCTTCCCATTTCCATCACTGCCCTGACACCCTAGTTTCTTTAGTTTGATGCTGAGACCCTCCTACTCTGGGGACCCTAGAAGGAAAGGGACTTGGCTGAAGCCACTCCTGGTCAGGAGTGGTCTCCTCCCACTTGTTATGTTTGTGGGGGACTTGGCCTTCCTTCTCCCTGCCTTCCCTGGTGCCACCCTTGCCCAGAAGCCAGCATTTACTAACCTGCTTCCCCATTACGGGCTTTCCTTTCCTTTTCTCTTTATGTCTCTCATTCTCTCCCTCTCTCTTTTCTCTTCCTTTCTAATTGAGGTATGAATTTATTTGGAAGGACATGCACAGTTCTGGGGGTTTTGATACGCAGTACATAACCATGTAACCAGCATGCAAATCAAGATCGAGTACATATAAAATGAGATCATTTCCCTTTGTAATAGTGTCATTGTTTAAAACTGATGCCTTGAGTTGTGGTGCCGGGATATCTCATGGACTGCCAAGAGAGCAAATAAAAATGTCTTGGAGAGTATGACTGCGGTGCTCTTAAGAGGGAAGGATGGTGAAACTTCGTCCCACTTACTTTAGGCTTGCTGTCAGGAGGGGCCAGTCCTTGGAAGGACACCATGCTGAGAAAATTGGAGGGTCAGCGAAGGATGGGAAGGCCCTCAATGAGATGAAATGGCTCAGTGACTGTCATGGGCTAAAGTGTGGCAGAGATGATGAGGACGGGACAGGGTAGCGTTCAGGCCCATCATTCATAGGGTGGCTGGCTATGGGTTGAAGTTGACTCGACAGTACCTAACCATGCTTAAATGTTCCTAGAAGCTCAAAGAAAAGAGTGTAAGACTTTCTGGACACCCAGCGTCCAGAAATGGTCCTGAGACTATTGTCCCATCTAAACAGTGCTCTGTTCACGATGCACGCACTCTCTTCCCAAACGGTTGACTGTAGCTCAGCAGAACCACCCTCACCACCCACAGAAGGAGGCTACATACAGGAGTCATGCGGGAGACTCCGGGGTCATCCCTGGCTCCCATTCTGGTTTCACCATTTTTCTGGCCATAGGACCTTGGGCACCTGACTGTTCTGGGCCTTTAGCCTCCTCATCTGTGCAAAGGCTATAATAATACGACCTGTCTTTTGCAATTGAGGTGAGGGCTTGGTGAGGCTATAGGAGAGGCTGGCGGTAGCTGCTGCTTTGCACTTTAACGATGTGATTATGTATTTAACTGTGATTATGTTGGTATTTAACTGAGTCCTCTGTGAAGACCCTGGGGGTGATTTCCAGCCATGGATGTGCTGGACGCTCTTGTTCACATGAGATCACTCTCAGTTTCCGGGACCTTCCCTCTACCACCCTTTCACCTCTGTCCTGAGGAAGGGTAAATCTTGTGCCTGGCAGGGCTCTTCTGGTCCTTGGAATAGCCTCATCCTGAAAGGAGTGGACCCCAGCCCTTCTAGTCCCTAATGTGTATCTTTGTGCTTACTTTTAGGAGCTGGACATGTCCCCTGGGGACCCCAAGTGGCTAGACGTCATCGAGCGTGACTTGCACCGGCAGTTCCCATTCCACGAGATGTTTGTGTCTCGGGGTGGGCATGGGTGAGCATGCTGTCCCTAGTGGACTTGGGAAATTGCTTTGAGCCCTGTTCCTTAGGGAACTAAAGAGGCACAATGAGTTTGAGGGGCTCTAGGGGCATAGAAGCCAGGTGCCCAACACTCCACCTTTAATGTGTCCCTTGTGTAGTTTGCATCTACTAGGTCCTCTCTTAGTGTCTCCTTCTGCCTTCAGGCCAGCTTGCATTATTTCCTCTCCATAGTGCTTAAGCATACTCAGCCTGGCCCTTTCTGGCAACAGTTTTGGGTGAGGGAAGGAGTTATGGCTGAGTGGGTGGAGAATTAAGTAGTATGTAAGAGACATGGAGGCCACAGGGTCCAAGACAGACTGTTGGGACAGAGCTGGCTCAGGTCCGTCAGGACCAGGCCTGGCTGAGGGATTGAACCTGGTATATGTATTAGTTGTATTGTTTTGCTTTTGAGCTGAATTGACTCATAGCTGACCCTCCAGCTAGTTTTTGGGGGCAGTTAATTGCACTGGAGGAGATTGCCGGCTGGGGGAGTGTCCCCTTCCCCTGGCTTTCTCTTGGACCTTCTGTCCTCATGTGGGCACCTTGCTCACGTGAGTCAAGGTACAGCAGTGTGAGACTGACTCCTTGGTCATTATGAGCAGGGCATCTTCTCATGGAAGCAGAGATGCTAAGACAGGCCTGGTCCAGTGGGGCACAGCCAAGGCTGTGACTGGCAAAGTCCCCTGTGTCAATTGTGCCCCACTTGCTCTCTCCATAGCCAGCAGGACCTGTTTCGGGTGCTGAAGGCCTACACGCTGTACCGACCTGAGGAGGGCTACTGCCAGGCACAGGCGCCCATTGCTGCTGTTCTGCTCATGCACATGCCTGCTGAGGTAGCCCTGGGCCCTTGGTGGGTGGTCGGGCAGAGTGTAGCCAGCAGTGAGGCTTCACATGCCTCTCTTTTCCACAGCAAGCCTTCTGGTGCCTCGTGCAGATCTGTGAGAAATACCTGCCTGGCTACTACAGTGAGAAACTGGTGAGTGCCACCTGGCCCAGGACCAGGGCAGGACAGAAACCCTGAGGGCCCTTCAGCTCTCCTGTCCAGAGCTGCGAGGCCTCTCCAGAGGTCTTCTGTGGCTTTCAGGCTAAAGTCCTTCCAGACCTGGGTTCAGGTCCCCAAAGCTCCCGTCCCCGCTCCAGCGTGCTCCTCCACCTGCTGGAAGCGGCACAGGCGGGACCGCACTTGCTCCTGCACACTGAGTTCCTTCTGACCTCAGGACCTTGGCATAAACTTTTTTCTCTGCCTGGAACCTCTTTTCTCCTCCTCCACATCTTTACCCTGACAACCCCACCTTTCCTGTGGCTCTCAGTGAGCTGTCCTTGATCCCCAGCAGGGATGCCTTCCTGGCACTTGCTGGCCCAGTGTCCCTAAGCCTATTATGTTCGGAACACTTGGCTCAGCCCGCCTGCCCCCGCCCTAAGTCTCTCTGCTGACATCTGTCACCTCCATCTTACTGGAACCTCTTAAGGTGGGAACCAGTGTGTCTACTCTGTTTATTAATCACAGTGGCCCCGCATCTCACTGCGGCCTAGCACCACGTAGGCAGTTGGCATACTGCTGAGCGGTGTGTGCCCGCCTGGGTTCAGGAGCCTAGGGCAGTCTCTCAGCAGCGGTCATGCTTCCTTGTGTTCCCGCCACAGGAGGCCATCCAGCTAGATGGGGAGATCCTTTTCTCCCTGCTGCACAGAGTGTCACCCGTAGCCCACAAGCACCTGAGCCGGCAGAAGATCGATCCCCTGCTTTACATGACGGAGTGGTTCATGTGCGCCTTTGCCCGCACCCTGCCTTGGAGCTCCGTGCTGCGCGTCTGGGACATGTTCTTCTGTGAAGGTACTGAGTAGTGCTTGGGGGAGAGCACCCCTACGTGCAGTCCAGCCCCAGAGAAACCCTCTGAAGGCCCCCTCACACACTCCCTTGCAGGCGTCAAGATCATCTTCCGGGTGGGGTTGGTACTGCTGAAGCACGCGCTGGGCTCCCCCGAGAAGCTCAAAGCCTGCCAGGGCCAGTATGAGACCATCGAGCGGCTGCGGAGCCTCAGCCCCAAGATCATGCAGGAGGCCTTCCTGGTCCAGGAGGTGCGGCCTGCCCCTTCCCCTCACCACCCGCTAGGAGGGAGGGGAGCCTGCCCCTTCCCCTCACCACC